ATTTTTGTACAGCACTTTGTTCAATGACCAGTTGTGTAAAAGTGCTTAATAAATAAAGGAAATTAAATTAAATTAAATGTGAGTGTCTGAGTATGTGAGTGTGTGAGTGTCTGAGTGTGTGAGTGTCTGAGTGTGTGAGTGTCTGAGTATGTGAGTGTCTGAGTATGTGAGTGTCTGAGTATGTGAGTGTCTGAGTATGTGAGTGTCTGAGTATGTGAGTGTCTGAGTATGTGAGTGTCTGAGTATGTGAGTGTCTGAGTATGTGAGTGTCTGAGTATGTGAGTGTGTGAGTGTCTGAGTGTGTGAGTGTCTGAGTATGTGAGTGTGTGAGTGTCTGAGTATGTGAGTGTGTGAGTGTCTGAGTATGTGAGTGTCTGAGTATGTGAGTGTCTGAGTATGTGAGTGTCTGAGTATGTGAGTGTCTGAGTATGTGAGTGTGTGAGTGTCTGAGTGTGTGAGTGTCTGAGTATGTGAGTGTGTGAGTGTCTGAGTGTGTGAGTGTCTGAGTGTGTGAGTGTCTGAGTATGTGAGTGTCTGAGTATGTGAGTGTCTGAGTATGTGAGTGTCTGAGTATGTGAGTGTCTGAGTATGTGAGTGTCTGAGTATGTGAGTGTCTGAGTATGTGAGTGTCTGAGTATGTGAGTGTCTGAGTATGTGAGTGTCTGAGTATGTGAGTGTGTGAGTGTCTGAGTATGTGAGTGTGTGAGTGTCTGAGTATGTGAGTGTGTGAGTGTCTGAGTATGTGAGTGTCTGAGTATGTGAGTGTCTGAGTATGTGAGTGTCTGAGTATGTGAGTGTCTGAGTATGTGAGTGTGTGAGTGTCTGAGTGTGTGAGTGTCTGAGTATGTGAGTGTGTGAGTGTCTGAGTATGTGAGTGTCTGAGTATGTGAGTGTCTGAGTGTGTGAGTGTCTGAGTGTGTGAGTGTCTGAGTATGTGAGTGTCTGAGTGTGTGAGTGTCTGAGTATGTGAGTGTCTGAGTGTGTGAGTGTCTGAGTGTGTGAGTGTCTGAGTGTGTGAGTGTCTGAGTGTGTGAGTGTCTGAGTGTGTGAGTGTCTGAGTATGTGAGTGTCTGAGTATGTGAGTGTCTGAGTATGTGAGTGTCTGAGTATGTGAGTGTCTGAGTATGTGAGTGTGTGAGTGTCTGAGTGTGTGAGTGTCTGAGTGTGTGAGTGTCTGAGTGTGTGAGTGTCTGAGTATGTGAGTGTGTGAGTGTCTGAGTATGTGAGTGTCTGAGTATGTGAGTGTCTGAGTATGTGAGTGTCTGAGTATGTGAGTGTCTGAGTGTCTGAGTATGTGAGTGTCTGAGTATGTGAGTGTCTGAGTGTGTGAGTGTCTGAGTGTGTGAGTGTCTGAGTGTGTGAGTGTCTGAGTATGTGAGTGTCTGAGTATGTGAGTGTCTGAGTATGTGAGTGTCTGAGTATGTGAGTGTCTGAGTATGTGAGTGTCTGAGTATGTGAGTGTCTGAGTATGTGAGTGTCTGAGTATGTGAGTGTCTGAGTATGTGAGTGTCTGAGTATGTGAGTGTCTGAGTATGTGAGTGTCTGAGTATGTGAGTGAGTAGCCGCGTTTCCATTACCCTTCAAATTGCGCAAATTGAAATTGCGAATTGAAAATACGCCCAATGTAAACGCGTCAATTTCGCCAAAACTCCCATTTATCGCAAAAAAAAACGTTTTACGCTCGCATGAGGAGGTTTTTCAGGCAATTCGAAAAAGAAATATTTAGCAAAACTGCAATGGAAACAGCTTTTGCGCATTTACAGGTCACCTGACGTAGATGACCAGTATGTTTGGACATAACACGAGACAGAGTTCTCTATTAAATTCATAAAAGACAAAAGAATTACAGGAATACTTGATTCTAAACCTCAAAAATGCCACAATCAAGACCTTGAAGCAGATATGAGGGAGAAACACCCAGAAACACCAGCCGCTCCAAGTATAAGGGTCTTTCCTTGCCATTAATGCTTGGATAACACACATACGTCTCCTTCGATTAATAATAATGGCCAATGCAGTGGCTGGGATATACGTAAAGCTATTAACATCCGTCGCCATGATTTTTGGAATGACTCATCGCGAGAGGAAAAAATAACGTTTTAGTCGCATAACATCGGTTAATGGAAACGCCGTCATTTCGCAATAGGTTTTTGTCGACATTTAGAAAAAATCGCTAAAGTTTTGCGCAAATCTGTAATGGAAAAGCGCCGAGTGAGTGAGTGAGTATGTGAGTGAGTGAGTGTGTGAGTGAGTGTGTGAGTGAGTGTGTGAGTGAGTGTGTGAGTGAGTGTGTGAGTGAGTGTGTGAGTGAGTGTGTGAGTGAGTGAGTGTGTGAGTGAGTGTGTGAGTGAGTGTGTGAGTGAGTGTGTGAGTGAGTGTGTGAGTGAGTGTGTGAGTGAGTGTGTGAGTGAGTGTGTGAGTGTGTGAGTGAGTGTGTGTGTGAGTGTGTGTGTGAGTGAGTGTGTGTGTGTGAGTGAGTGTGTGTGTGAGTGAGTGTGTG